GAGAAGGATGCTTTAGATGCTTTGGTAAAAACAGAGTGAACTAAGCATACCAACATGCACATTTTTGAAGTTGGCTTATTTGCAAAAAAAAGGACCTCCCTTACATTGGGGCAAGTCCTGATGCTATTGGCACCTGTGAAACATTTGTTGTTGAATGCAAATGTCCATACAGCATTAAAGATGAGAGGGTTTTTGACACCTGGAATCAAACTGAGTTTTTACGGATGAATAGTGGTAGAGCATGTTTGTTAGTGACAAATACTAGTGGCAACCAAAGAAATTTACCAGAGCCCTTGAAACATGACTAACTCTTTCATTACTAAAGCAGCTGACCAGAAATGCTGTTAAGTTCCTTAGGCAACCAAAAGCCCCCAACAGGATTGGAATATTTTTTGATGTCTGTCCTATCCCTGAAGGCTGGTTTTCTTTCTCTTCATTAATGTCTTTTAGTTAAAAGAGATGTTGGCCTATCAATCCACCCTGCTGTGCTAATGATTATCAATCCTGTGTGGAAAAGAAAGAGGCTTGAGTTTGACTATTGCTTTGCCACGGGGTAAACATGCCAGAATATGCTCTTATTACTTGTGAGTTATTAAATGAGATATTTGAAAGATCATATGTTTACACCCTGTTCATTTCCCTATAAGTGGTATCGATACAGTGCAGTCTCTGGAAAGTTGCATCAAGCCACCACAACTTCGACCATCAACAGAGATCAGTGTGAATGATGATATGTTGCCACTGGACTTCATTAGTATAGCAATGGTGGTAAATTTGAAAATTTTAGTGTAAATTGAAGTCTTTTAAGATGTATGTGTAAATGTTTATGATAACTTTTTCATTGACACAACTCTTAAGCTTTAATTCAGTCTTCTTTATTTTGCTGAAAGTGTTTCTAACAACACCTATGATTTGATTTGCCTTAAAAATTTTTTAACAATCCTATTTAAGCCATAGGAACAATTAGGTTGGGTCCCATTTGCATAAAGTAGAAAATAGGCCAAAATATGCAATAAAGCCCTAGAATACCATCAAACTTTCTTAAAAACAGAGTGGGCATCCTGTCAAGACCTTGGCCAAGTGAGAGAAAGATTGGCCCCTTGGTTTGAAGCAGTTTATATTGTTTTAACCAATCGTTGAGTTTTAGCATCTCAAAACATTGTCCCAGCATTATACCGTTTAATCTTAATTTTTTTCCATAGCTGATAATGCCCCCTTGTTATACCATATCAATAATAGGAATATAGTCAAGCATGGAAGAAAATATTGTCAGTTGGGCTTTTGGTATATTGGTATTACACCTTGGGAACTTTGGACCTTCAGCCAGAGACTACAATAGAGCTGAAAGAGAGGTCTTTCTGAGGCAGCCTCTCTAAAAGAACAAAGTTGTGGTGTACAACATCAAAAAAATAAAGAAGACAAAGATTCTCCAAGTGTTTCTTAAGTTAAAGAAATGCTGGTACGATTTAAGGATGATGTGGTGTAACAGATCAAATTGAGTTAGTTTTAAATTAATTTATTTCTACACAAGGCCTCAAAAAGTTGTTTTATTAAGCTTGAAAGCCCCAAGGAAAGATTACACACCTGGGGATCTCAATGTAGTGTCCGTGAAATCCCTTGGGCAGAATTTAAAGAAACTGAGGTCCCTTTTGGCCTAAAGCCACTGTTGGCAATAAGAAAAGGACTTCGACGCCAAAAGAATTCAACGAAGACAAGCTTAACTCGTACAAGTTGGAGGTGATTGGTGGCAACCACCAATGAGTGACATGCAGGCTATGCAGGCAGAAGATCTGTCTAATATCAAGTTTAAGTGCACGGAAGTCGTTTCCTTTACCAGTTAGTTAAGCCTGAGCTTTGTCTCTGCACAGGATAAAAAGCAAAATTTTATTTATTTATGTGAAAGTATGGATCATTTTGCAGAGATGCCGAAGAAAGATGCGCTCAAACTTGCATTCAAGCACAACCAGAGTGACCAATGACATTATGAAACGACTTCATATGAAAAGGTACTTCTGCTCTTTTTAGGAACTTGTCTCATTTTGTAGGTGTTCTAGTCAGACTCTCATGCAGTCCAAATACACGAGGAGAAAGAAAGGTCTTTTTTTTCTTCCTTGTATTACTTATATTGTTTAACAATGTTGTTCTATTTCAATAAGATACAAATTTTTCCTTAGGCCTCTGTGCTGAATAAAACTCTAATCCCTTAATGGGTAATACAACCAGCATTAGTGATATATAGCCAAAGTGTAATTTATCATTTCTGTTATATTTTCTAAGGTAAGCTGTGCCATTCAATTTTAAAGATGAATTTAGGAGAATGAAGACAACTGAATGGAGAAACTCCAGCAGTTCAGTAACCAATTAAAAGGTAGACTTAATTAAGTCATAGTTAAGGGAAAAGTGATAAAAGCATCTAATTTCACCTTCTCTGTAGGAGCCTCTTGAATTCATATACCTTCTCTGCATTAGAACAAGTCTTCCTGATAAACGAAAATTTTTTAAATAAAAGTTTCAGCTCATCATGGTCTAGACAGAACAAGTTTGATCCAAGTAAGATCATCAAGCCACTGACATGTTACTCTTACAGAAAAGGTCACCTGATTTCTAGCTGCCTGGAAAAAAGTTGAGAGTGACGCAGAAACAAAATGTTGTGGGGCTTAAAAATAATGGTTTTATCGCAAAGCCATTGCCTTGAACTGCTGAAAGTGAAGATATACCTCCCTGAAATCCAAGGAAGAAGACTCTGTCAAGTCCTATGAGTAAAGATAGTGGCCGTGAGGGGCCAATACCTCAGACAAGGTCTGGAAACCAGTATTTGTTGACCATCATGTGTGTATCCACCAGATTTCCTGAAACCGTGCTTTTGAGAAATATCAAAGCAAAGGCTATAGTCAGAGCTTTAACCAAGTTCTTTACACTGGTAGGTCTTCCAAGTTCTATCAAATCTGATCAAGGTTTCAATTTTGACAGGTATATTTCAACAAGTGATGTTGAAATATCAGTCAGGTTGGAATCACAGTATCGGTCATCCACATGTCACCCTCAAAATCAAGGAGCTCTTGAAAGATGGCACCAAACACTAAAAAGCATGATATGGATCTACTGTTTTGAAACAGAGAAAGATTGGGACGAGAGTATCCATGTACTATTGTTTGCTGCACACAAGTCAGTACAAGATTCCCAGGGATTCAGTCCATTCAAGCTTGTGTTTGGGCACACTGTGAGAGGACCTCTTAAACTCCTAGTCATGCCAACTTGCATACCATAGAACTTTCCAGAACATTTCATAAACTCATGTACTTATTACTTAATAGCACTAAAATAGTTCTTGTGCAAGCATCTGGGATGTTACAGAACACTTTGAAAATGTATATAAAGACTCACTTACGTAGCAGTAGGGGTTGTTGTTGTTGTCGGAGTGACAACTGTTTTGAAAGCTATACCGAGAGAGAGTTGCTGCAGAAGACTGCTCACTTCAAGGAATTTTGGAGACAGCAGTGAGATTGCATCAGTGGTGAGCTGGAATACAGACTGTGCTAGGATTAACAAAGTTTGCAAGATTGTAGTGTTTTTCTGTTGGTTAGATTATACCATAACAAGTGAGGAAATATTAAAGTCTACTTTAAGGCAGATATGCAGCCTGAACACAAGACTGAAGATGACTCAATACACCATTGTTGCATGAGAAAAAGATGAGTCTCCAACTCAAACCCTGATGGAATGCACCCCGAGAGGGAAGGCCTATATGATATATGTGGCATGGAGTAAGATGTCTGCCAAAGATAACTCTTTATTTGTGATTGTCATTTAGTTTTGGAAATTTCCAATTTCCGTTTTGTGTTAAGTATTGAATTAGGAATAAATAACAGGGCTCCATATGGCATAATACGTTGGAAACTCATACAGTCAAGGTATTACACAGCTATACACATAACATGTTAGGAAATTCCACACCTTGTAGTCCCTTATTTTCTGTACCATAGTACGGTTATTGAATGCCCAAAGGAACTGAGACATAACTACTAACTCAGGAATACCAATGGGTAATAACTAGTTTGTTTCTTGTTTTCATACGTTTCAGTAAGTTCCTGCCTAAAGCAATCCGTTCAAAGGAATGTAAACTTGTCATCTGTATATGATGACAAGAAGCCTGTTCCTGGTTTTAGGAGAGAAGCTATGCCCCTAGGCCATTCTGCATGCGAGGGATCAAGGTCCAAAGATAGCAACAATTAGATAAATTTCCCAGCAAGATGTGTTGTATTTAATGAAGATTTGTTATCACTTCGCCGAAAGAATCGTATAAGTGAAAGTTTAGAATTAATCCATATATCGAAAGGGTTTCACTGGGGTTAACCGCTAGCTCTCAAAAGGCAAACAGATTTAGCCATTTGGCATAAAGATTGAAGTATTTTAACCATTTTTTGTTAAAAAATGTTTTGCTGAAAATGTTTTATTTTGGACACAATGGGAAGAAATTTACCATTAGCTATAAATTAATATTTAAAAAGAAATGTAACAGGTTGCCATGAAAGCGACTGCTTCCTTTTGATGCCTTCATTTATGAAATGCAGCCTTACATGACACCTATGAAATGTATTGTCCTGCCTAAGAATGTTTTCAAAGGAGTTACTTCATTACAACTACAACATTTTCTGAACATTTTCCAAGTTGATTTACCATTGCAAGTGGGAGAAGCAAGTGTTTCCATATACCCCAACCATCACCAAGTCTACGTAGCTGGCCACACAAGTGAAAAAGTGGTAAAGAATCTTGTAAAAGATGGAGAAAGGTCCACACAATGGTACAAGGACAATTTATTGCAAGTGAACTGTGACAAATATCAATGTATGCTGTTAGGATGTGAAAACTCTAAAGAAGAAAAATTGACTTTAATGTCAATCAATTAAGATTTTAGGTGTCACACTGATGAGAAACTAAACTCTGGTCTTGCCCTTTGGGGTCACCAGACGGCCTCGAATGACTATGAAGAGCTTTACCGGATGGACGTCCTAGGACTAGAAGACAAACCTAATGGCGATCAGAGCGTTGTTTATGAAGAATTCCTTGAACAACTCAGCCGCAGCCCTGAGGGTTGGTATGAAACTGGCCTTCCCTGGAAAGGGGACCATCCTCCGTTGCCCTCTAACAAGTCTGGAAGCTTAAAGCGACTGGGGAGCCTAGTCCAACGACTTAACAAGACAGGAAGGCTAGACGACTACGACGCTATCATACAAGAACAGCTTAATGAAGGAATTATTGAAGAAGCAGAGATGCCAGCAACTCAAAGAGAATTCTACATCCCGCACAAAGCAGTAGTGAGAGAGAGTGCAGAAACTACCAAGATGCGTATTGTCTACGATGCCTCAGCAAGAGCGTACGACTCAGCCCCTTCCCTAAACGACTGTCTGGAAGTTGGACCACCCCTGCAGAATCAACTATGGAAGGTACTCCTAAGGGGGCGGTTTCATTCAGTGGCTATCGCTGGTGATATTCGCAAAGCATTTCTTCAAGTGCGTATCCGAGAGCAGGACCGAGATGCACTGCGGTTTCATTGGTTGGAAAGCAAGGATCCTTTTCGTGTTCGCACGTACCGATTCACCAGAGCTCTGTTTGGTTTGGGACCCTCGCCGTTTCTGCTTGGCGGCGTAATTCAGCACCATCTGAACACTTGCAGACCTACACACCCTGATCGCGTAGCAGAAATCGAGCGAGAACTGTACGTTGACGATCTCATTTCTGGTGGAGGTACTATCCAAGAAGCGAAACAAAAGAAAGCTACAGCAACTGAGATGTTCCACCAGGCCACCTTTCACTTACACAAGTGGCATTCAAACGTGACTGAACTAGAGCTCACTGAAGAAACTGAAACTGGGGATGACTTAAGCTACGCCAAGCAACAACTCGGAATCAAGCCGAGAGAATGTGGGCTGCTTGGTTTAAAGTGGAACAAACTGACGGACGAAGTTGGAGTTACAATTCCAGAGGAAGTTGCCCAACCGACAAAGAGAGGGATTCTGGGAAAAGTGGCGAGGATCTATGACCCCCTTGGTCTTATCGCTCCAATCACCCTGCAAGGAAAGCTTCTGTACCGCGATGCCGATGGCAGAAGTGGGAACGTTCCTTGCCGCAACACGTAACTTGTCCACGAGCACTTACCAGCGTCCAAGAACCTATCGAGGACATTAAACTTCATGCTTTTGGAGACGCGAGCGGAAAGGGCGTGGCCGCTTCTGTGTACGCTGTGGTCAAACAGTCAAGCGCAATCAACCAAGGCCTGGTTACAGCAAAGGCAAGACTGGCCAAACAAGGGCTGACAATACCTCGCCGCGAACTGGTCTCCGGTCACATGGCTGTAAATCTTCTGACCAACGTACAAGATGCACTTCAAGGATTCCCTGTGACTTCGCTGCATTGTTGGCTTGACAGCAGCGTTGCCTTACATTGGATACTAGGAGGAGGAGACTATAAGCAGTTTGTGGCCAACCGGGTACGAAAAATTAGAGAACACTCTGATGTTGTCTGGAGGCACGTACCTACTCAGGATAATCCTGCAGATCTTGCTAGCCGAGGTGGACTGGTGACTGAGGAGAACCAACTGTGGTGGAAGGGACCAGAGTGGCTAAGTGATCCTGCGAAATGGCCAGCCGACCTTGTGACCGCGCCCACCGCTGAATCTAACGCAGAAATGAAAGCTACAAAGGAGCTCTTTGCCATGGCCGTTAAAGCTGATGACGATCTAGACCATCTTCTGGCCAAGCACAACTACTGGAAGACTTTGCGAGTGTGCGCTTGGATTATGCGGTTCGCAAACAACGCTAGAGCGAAAAGAGCGACAAGAACAAAGGGACCCCTGACAACAGACGAAATTGAGAAGCAGAAACACTTTTGGTTGCTACGCGTACAGAGCCGGGGAAGTGAAAGCATGGAGGAAGATCGCCTGTGCCTAAACTTACAGAAGAACAAAGATGGATTGCTTGAGTGCCGTGGGAGACTGCAAGGGGTCTATCCGATATACATCCCAGACGCCACAACGTTCGCAAACAAATATGTCGAACACGTCCACAAAGCCACTCTTCACGGGGGAGTGGGGCTTACTATGGCTAAAGTGAGAGAAGAGTTCTGGATTCCCCGCCTGAGGCGCCTCGCGAAGAAAGTCATCAGGGAGTGTTATGGGTGCAAACGCTTCCAGGCTGTTGCTCTCGCAGCTCCACCCCCCGGTTTATTGCCTCTGGAGAGAACTGAGGGCTCAACTCCCTTTGAAATTGTTGGCGTAGATTTTGCTGGGCCGATTAAGTACCGCAAGTCCTCTCGTGTAGAAGGAAAAGGCTATCTGGTGCTCTACACGTGCAGTTTAACGAGAGCCTTGTACTTGGAGGTCCTTCCTAATCTGGAAACTACTACCTTTCTTTCAAGCTTGAAGCGTTTCATCGCTAGACGTGGACGACCTTTAAAGATCTTTTCAGACAATGGAAAAACGTTCGTAGGAGCGGCAAACCTACTGAAAGGAATCCAGAAAGATGAGCAAGTTCAAGGCTCCCTTGCATCGGAGAAAATTATCTGGAGGTTTAACCTAAGTCGAGCACCCTGGTGGGGTGGCCAGTTTGAGCGACTAGTGGGCCTCTTCAAACGTGCATTCTATAAAGTAATTGGTGGAGGAATGCTATCCTGGTCAGAGCTGTGCGAAGTCGTGCTGGATGTTGAAACTCAACTAAATCGCCGCCCCCTGTCCTATGTAGAAGATGACGTCCAGCTCCCTCTACTCACCCCATCTTCTTTCCTATTCCAAAGATGTATTCGCCTCCCTGAACAAGAACCATGGCGAGAGGAGGCAACTGACCTACGAAGGCGTGCCAAGTATTTGAGGTCTTGTAAGGACGCTGTGTGGAGACGCTGGTCTCGAGAGTACTTGGCGGCGCTCAGAGAGCGTCACAACTGCAATGGAAAAGGCAAGGCGAGGCCCTTAAAGCCTGGTGACGTCGTTCTCATTCGTTCAGAAGAAACCGAGGAAAGTGGCCATTAGGAGTGGTCGTTAAACTATTCAACGGCCGTGATGGAATTGTACGTGGAGTGAAGCTGCGCGCAGGGAAAACGTTTCTGGAGAGGCCGATTCAACACCTTTATCCCATGGAACTAGCATGCGATAGAGCGCCGGAGAGAGCTGAAATCCTTACCCCCCTGAATGCTAAAGCGCCAGTTTTTCGTCCACGGAGAGATGCTGCGGTTGCCGCAAACTTGCGTATTCGTGACGCTATAGAGAGTGAAGAACTTTAAAACTAAACGCAGGGCAGAACTGTGCGGATGGACGGAGAATATAAAGTGATTTCAGCGAACTTTGACATTCATTACTTTGTTTTGTTTGGTTTCTGATTTCAATTTAATTATTAATTAAGCTAGCCGTTTCCTCTGTTTACATGTGCTTCCGTTTGGAAGGCACATGGGGAGTGTGTCGGAAACAGAATAATAGCATAGATATCAAATAGCGATTGTGAAATGTTTGTCTGGAAATTTTGTTATTCTTATGTCTGGAAGATTCGTATCTAGCCAATCAGCGTTCTTTTTAACTAAGGTGTCCCGCAAAGATAAGGAACAATTGTCTGTGATTTATTTAGCTTTCAGTCGAAGTAATCTTTCATATCAGTCGAGTCGAGGAGTTGTGACAGTTGTGAAACCTAGCGAGAATAGAAGAGGAGAAGAATAAAAATCTAGTGAAGACGAGACAGTGTGGGCTATCCTTACTAATTCCCCACACAGCCAGCAGTGATGTATTAAATTAGGTATTTGCAGGGCGTTTAAGCGCGTAGGAACTTAGCAGCATGATTGTCAAGTAAAGCCATGTTTAATAGGAAATTAGTGCCTACGGATCGTTGTAGAACGTGAGTGAATCTTGAATCCCACACGGAACTACGCATCTGGGTGTGGATTTCCTCAGCTAATAAATGTAACATTTTTGTAACCCTAAGATTAGATTATAATAGAGTAGATAGATCGCAGAACGGAACGTGTAATGCTGAATTGTCGTCAATAAAGCCTGAATCAAGAGAAAGTATACAGTCCAAGATTACTGAACCAGCGTGTGCGGAATTCTCAGCAACGCAAGTGGGAAATTCTGCGAAAGTGTTCCAAGCTTGAGATGTTTCAGTCTCAACAGATTCTCTCTTTCGTGATGAATAACTTATGTAGCCTTTTTCTAATCAATTAATTTTTCATTTTTACTTTTTAACATTTTTCAGAGCTCTGATCCCCTCACAAAGATGGATAAATTATCAGGTCACTCTGCAAGAGATTTCCTTGACAGTGGTACTGACATGTTGTCATCTACTTTTTGTTCATGGACTCAACAGATGAACAGAGGGTTTGCTCATCTCTAAATAGCTGTAGTTCACAGACCATCAGATCTGCAGCTCAGCGGCCAAGTTATTCCTGCAGCAACATCATTTCTTCATGGAGTATGCTTTGGAGAAGATACTAGTATCAGCCCCTCTGCACAATCAGATCTTCATGAAGTTATATATTTGTCAACCCGTGCAACAGGACAATTCCCCTGCTACATCTACTCCAGATAATGTTGAACTTTCTGGTCTTCAAATTTACAAGGCAGATGTGGTGAGTGTCCAACCAAGTGCTATGATCACTGACACAATACTTTTATTTTTGTTTGACTGAGTATAGGGCTGTGGCTACTGCATATTCCTCTGTTGATTTACCAGTTTGACGATTTTAGTTTGATATTCATTTCACATAAATAGATATTTTTTAATTTGATTTATTTATTTTCGTACAGTATACATTTTCTCAAATTCATTTTATAAATTTAATTTTAATTTTTTTCACTGATTAGTATTCCTAGTTGAGGGGCTTATGAGCCCTGTAGTATTCAATATTTATTTCCTATTTGCATTTAGCTTTAAATTTTTAACATCTCTCTATTTCTTAGCTAGTCTTAAGTCTTAGCTTAATCAGTTCTCAAACTGAAAGCACCCGAGGTACCAAACAACAATCGCCCCATGTCCCTATTACTTGCATTTTCCAAAGTATGAGAACAAGCCGCCCTGAACCAACTTACTGGATACATGGAGCGAAAGAAATGCTTATCCCAACATGAGAGTGGATACAAAAAGCTACCCTCAACAGAAACTTTAAACATCCTTCTATCGATTCAAGAAGAGAGATCACTTTAGTCTTCATCCAGCATTGACAGAGGTTAAGTAGTTAAAAATAGTTAATATTACCCATCCATCATCACCAAAATTGATACCCAATTAGCATTTGATTCTAAAAAAAATCTAGTTCATTTTTTCACTAAACTTTCTCACTGAAAAGTCATCTAAATTGTTCCCTCAAAATATTGGTGAATATTGTGTCTAAGATTCTACTGTACAACTAATTGTTTTTTTAATAGCTAAATGACTCTGGAAATTCTCTCTGAGAGTTTTGTTATCATTATCCCAGTTTTAGATCTTTCAAGTACATGATCATATCAGACTTCACAACCATTCAGCTGCGCTTTTGCTCTAAAAGTTATTAAACTTTGTCTCCACAATAGCAGATGCAGAAGGAGACGATGTGGAAATGTGTGTTCATTGTCAGCAAATGCCATGTATCATGACCAACAGCTGCAAATACCATGGCTATCGGGAAGCTCACATCCAAAATTATGTGCTACCTCAAAGAGATTACAACACATGCTAGAGATCATTGAAGAAGTGTGGGCTCTGAAAAGACCCGGTTTACCAAACTAGAAAGGTTGAACTTCGGGACCAGGTAAATGCAGGTAAGGAAGGGATACCCAATTGTGAATCCTTTCTTAATGCCTGGTAAAAAATGTTGATAGGCCAGCACAACTCCAGGTAGGCAATAAGGGTAATATGAACAATTTTCTCCCCACTTGCCCTTATCTAAACAAAAACACAGGCATGGTTGAAGATTAGTCCATTGAAACCAGAACAAATAGTTTCCCCCTTTATTGTCACAATTCCCTATAAGCTGCATTTTGATCCATCTATACTTGAATCTAAAACACAATTACAGAAGAAAAATAGCCAACAGTGAAGTAAAAGAATACCAAGATTAACACCTTTGACATTCAGATTCATTTTAGGCCAAAGCAATCAGTAATGACTCTTCTAGGTCCCTTGTTAGTGACACAAATACTTGTATAGCACCCACTAAAGCGGCTGACCAGAAATGCTGTTGAGTTCCTGAGTGGCCAAAAGTGGCCATCAGAATAGGACTATTTTAAGATGTCTGTCTCATCCCAGGTGGATGGTTTTATTTTTCTTCATTGTTCTGCTTTAGTTTAAGAGATATTGACCAGTCAAATCCACCCAACTGTGCCCATGATTATCAATCCTGTGTAGATTGTGGAGTAGCTTAAGATCGACTATTGCTTTGCCCTGTTGTAATCATGGCAGAACCTGCTCTCAATAGTTGCAATTGTGCAACCAGATATTTGAAAGTTCACACAAGGAAAGCAATAATTAAAGTTCTGATGGTTCTGATATTTACATTCAGTAAGGTGAAAAGAAGAAAGAGCACCATAAATGTGAGAATGAGAGGGACATGACTTGGATACCAGAGAGTATGGAGACTGATGAACTTAAGGGCCAACAGAGAATGAAATTTGACAATCTGAAAGCCCCTTGCAAGTGGACTTCTTTAACAAAATGTTTGGGTACTCTGTTAATGACAAAATTGTGATGCAAAAAAAAGATATATTTATGTATGCTCATGAGAAGCTAGCCAATACGCTGCATCCTGGAAAGTGGAGGGACAGAATGAAAAGAAAGATGAAAGCGTACTTCAGCATTTTCATTTTTAAAGGCTTAACAAAGTTTCAGGAATTGCCATACCCTGGTATTAGGACCCCTTCATTAGAAATGCAGGCATTCGCAACATATTGGTGGAGAACCACCCAGAAGAACTGACCTACTATTCACACTTTTCAAACTCTGAAAGAGAACCACCACCTTTTATATTGATAATTTTTTCACAAGCACCAATTTTCTGGAACACATACTTGCCCAAAATACATATGCATGTGGAACTATTTGTTCTTTTGGATGCAGTTCCATAGAAACAAACACAGTTATAACTTTGTTTACTTTAACCTATATAGTTACTTTTTACGGATTTATGTAGTATTCTTATTACAGAGGTGATCATTATCCTATATTCAATATTCATTAATTTTTTTAAATCTTTTAAAATATTTTTCATGGTGTAATTTGTAACTATTTAGCATGATATAGAATGTCTACATCAGCTTATCTTGTGTCAAGCTGTGCATGGTCATGATAGATGGGTAAGTTGGATCTCCAGTGCTGTCATGTAAAATGCAACCTCCTTGTTATGCCATACAAATTATAAGAATAAAGTCAAGCATGGAAGAAAATACTGTCAATCTGGTATTTGGTATTCAATATTGGTATGATGGTATGACACCTTAGGACCTTGAGCCAGAGAATACAGTAGAGCTGTTAGAGAAGGTCTGTTTGAGGCAGCTATCTCTCAGAGAAACAAAGTTGAGGTGGACAACATCGAAAAGAAAAAAAAAAAAGACAAAGATTCTTAAAGTGATTCTCAAGTTTAGGAAATGTTGGTTCAATTTAAGGATGAAATGGTGTAACAGATGATGATTTATTAATTACTTATTCCCATATATTTTAATTCCACTGAAATTGAAGGGGGAGCAAATTTGATAACTTTGCCAGGCCCATAAAAGGAGGTGTGAAGAGCCACAGGTCCATAAACCAAGCTAACAATACTCCACCGACAGTGTCTGTGCAAGTTCACTATGAGGTGATTTATAAGTCACTTGGGAGTGTATTGCTGTTTGTTCTTTACAGAATGTAAGTTGTCTGAGTTTTTAATTGCTGGATTATTAAGGATGATCAATTGAGAACTTGAGCCTAAAGTATTCTTATTTAGAGCTGTACCATGGACAGGTAACTTTAGAAAGGGCAAGAGAAACAGTGAAATTTTGCAGCCATCTCTGTGCAAGTCTGCAGCACTCTTGCTCAA